ATGAACAGTCAACCAATGCGTGAGCCCAGAGTTGCCTCATGTCAGGGTTCAGCACCCTGCCCTAGGGTGCCCCAGACTCCCCAACCAATCCCTTCCTTCCATTCCTTCATTGTTGCCTTGTTGTTGCCTTTCTGTGTTGTGTATCCGCGCGCACGGGATAGCGTGGGAACTTTCTGAGTGAGCAGCTCCCCCAGAATGTTCCCACGGGTCACAGCCACAGTTCTGGGCGAGCAACTCGCCCAGAACATTCCCACGCTTACTGGGCACTGCCACCTGGATGTTCCCTCCGGGTCACACTACACAACTCTAAGAGCTGTATAGTTGTGGGCATGTGACCCATTCCTTTATATAGCAACCATGCGGGGAGATGAGACCTTTACCCTTCTTCTCATCTCATGCCCCACATAGTGTGAGGACAGGCCAGATGGGGGTTGAGGTCAGGGAGCCTCCGAGTCCAAGGCCAGGCCCTGACACCTCATCAGTGCTGGGTAGGCACCTCAGAGGTGGATGCTCCTCCATGGGTTTCTCAGGAGTGGTGGATCTTAGCAAGGGATGGCACTGAGTCTTACTGGGAGACCATCGGGTTTGAGGTTGTTCCCCAGGCAATAGGGCTTCATATGGCATGCGAAACTGCCGAATATGGAGGGTTCCCCACTGGAGATTGGGCATTTTTATCTTATGACATACTGGTGAGCATACAAATCTACATTTAGTTGTGAGCATTGTAGGAGTGCATAACGGGAGTGCTCAATTTCATGGAACCTTACCCAGCAAATACATCAAAAATTGGGCTCCTGCCCTTGTACATTATTAGGAAAAAGGAATTATAGGGGGGAGTAATAAGAAAGAAGAAAGAGGGTTTCCGTTCGAACCGAAAGAGCCTTTCCGCGAAGGGATTGGTTGAGATTTGGTGGAGAAATTCAACCTGAGATGTCCTCATGTGCGAAGTCCGTGCACTTGACCATGACCATGGGAACAAGGTCAAAAGTTGACAGAAGAGGACGACTTTGGGGTCATTAAATCGAGAAAAATTCCCAAAGACTCAGTGTTAAATTTCACCCTAATCGGTTCAGTGGTTGTGGAGATATTTTAATTGTTGGGCATGATGGGAGTCATGGGACAATATAAACTATGCAGATGCTCACATGTGAGCTAGTCTCAGTGAAATTCCAAGAGAATATGGGCTAGTTAAATGATACAAATGCTAAAGAAGTCATTGGAGGAGTCTTGGAACTATGGCATATTATTTGGTCCAAGTTTCCCTGTGCACAGATAATCAAGATATATATTCCGTTTCTGAGAATTCCCATTCTCAGTCAAATCTCCACCAAATTTCACAAAATCGGTATCGTTAGAAAGCTATGGACGAGGAGAGTCGAATGGAATAAAGGGACAGAGGTTTGACGCGGTGTTTGGAGTGGTATGAGGAAGTTTGTGTTTTTCATTTTCATTTTCATTTGTTGTTTGGAATTCTATTCTAAGCCAATGGCAGCCAAACCTTACTGCCATTGTTGGTGGAGGCTTAGCTCAGCCAAACCCATATATTTCAGACTCTTTTCACAAGTTGTATGTTTGTTGTATGGGTATATGTATGTAGCGATTGAAACGGAATAGACAATTTCCCCCCCTCCTGCTACTTTTGAAGTCCGTGTACTTGGGTGTTGTGAGTGGCCACACGATTGGTAAAGGGCTATTGTGACCTTTAGGGAAATCCACCACAGAAAGAAAATAAACAAGAGTTACCAGTTATTTTTCCCAAAATCCCCTCCCCATTGAATATACGAACCTGTTCTACTGCAACACCCTTTAATGCCCTTTTCTTTCTTCCCTGGCTCTTTGGGGAGTGAGTTGGAGTGCTACCTTCCATTTTCTGGAGACCATAGCAGATTCCTGCTTGCAGCGTCATGCTGATTTCCCTTTTTCAGATGGACGACCTGGTTCAAGCACTGCATGATCACCTTCAAGAATACATTGTAGCTGTGCAAGCCAACCCTGCATACCAGCATCAACTCATCCTCCCCAGAGACCGACACATCCCTGTCTTGAATCCATTGGGCCCTTGGGACAGTCTCAATGTGATGTCATTGGGGCTGCACATGGCATGTCTGGATCCGAAACATCATGTTTCAGATGATGCTGGAGTATTCATTAAGGGGATGAGCCTTTGTTTAGTGTTTGAAAGGATGTTTTCAGAGGCTCACGCATCTCTAGCTGGTCCCCCTCAAGCACATTAATAGTTTGCTGGTTGTATGTACATGCCAATTCCAAGTTCCAAAATGGCCACAAGGCCTGAGCGGATGTTGCCAAGAAAATTTGATGTCTGTGAAGTCCTTGAAAATATTACAAAGTCATAGAGGCTGGAGTCCTGCCTACCTCGAACCAGCAGTCAATCTCTGAATTCTGACTGAGTTCTGATCGCTGTGGTCTGAATTTCCAGCACCTCTCACAGGATTCATAATGCCCAAAAGCAAGGTAATAGTCTGCCACTGGCTAGTTTGTGCTGCGGAATTGGTAACATTAATTTCCAAATCTCTACAGATGTGATTCTGTACTAAATGTGGCAACGAGGGCCAAGTGCTCCACATTAAGACATGGAATGATCATCAGAATGCTCAAAAGTGACATGCCAGTTACCAGTGCTACGCCTCAGATGTCTTAAGGGTGCCAGTGTCTGCCTCACCAATCTCGGCTACTGGCTCAGATATTGATAATGCTGGGCAAATATTTGACAACTCTGAAAGTGGCTCGTTTCCCCAACAACCTAATCCTACTGGCAGCCACCCGGAGCCTGACATATTTTTGGCACTGCTGTTGCCTGGATTTATTAATGAGTGCAATAACGATTCCCCTCCACATTCCAACACAATCCAGCCCAGCAATGAGGCTTCAGCTGAAGAGGAAACAGGATCCCAACCATCTAGCGATGAGGAGTCTAACTCCAGTAGTAGTCCAATCGATTCTGGGTCTGCACCTCTGGACGACTCGACAACCCTTCCAGCAACACCATCATCTACTTTCCCTTCTATACCACTAATCCACTGTGTCTCTCAATCTGGTGGTGTGGATGAGAACTCCCTGGACCCTTTCCTCTCTCACACTGACATGCAACCCTGAATACCTTATTCTGCAACACATCATCTTGCACCCATCCGAATTCTTTATCTTATGGCCACCTGGCTGCATGCTGTAGGAGAAATAATATTTGAAGAATAAAACAATGATGTATCAGGATAGTCAACAATCAGGTGACAAGTTCAAATGTTTAACAGATCTCATGATCTTTAAGCTACTACAAGCATGCCTAGAACCTGGAATAGGCGTAGGAAAATATAATATTCAAAGAATATATCCCTACAACAAGAAAATAGCACATAGACAGCAGAATAAGAAGGAACATTGGGAAAGAAATGTAAATATCTCGGGAACCAGTAAACCTCTGACTGTAATCTTTTTACCATCTAAAAGGACTGTTTCCAAACTTTATCCACGGTTTTGTTTCATTCTAAAAGCTTCAAAACTGACGGAGATATCGCTCAAACGGCCAAACACCTTATAATTCATATATATTTGTTTGCTAATTCTTACAAAAAGTAATGTGACTCAAGGGAAATATATTGACGCCCGGAAGTCTGGCGCACCGAATACCATATGGCAGAGTATCGCCCGGCGTGGACGGACAGTTTTTGATCACATCAGAAGAGGAGAAAATGCTAAAAAACTGGATCTTGTATATTTTCCCATGATTCATCAAAACCTTTTGATTTTAAGCTCAAATAAATTGGAACAAAGAAATGATTGATAATCTGGATCTCGGATCATAAGCATAAAGTGATCCAGAAGTCCGCGGATCAGTTAATTAATTGGGAAAGCTCTAGAACATTAGTAATGATGAGCTTCACAAAAAGGGGTGAATTAGAGAACAGTCTAGAAAGTTCCTTTATAGCTGAGTCATTTCTAAAGATAACCGTTCGTAATTAGGGCGGTGTAGAGCATAGCTTTAGCACTGCAAGACACCGCTAAGATCGGCCCAAAAGACAAAGAACTGAATTACTTATTGCTGAGTCATGTCCTAAGTCCATTATTAAGCTTACACAGCCCAAGCCCCTATATCATTCTAGAACTATCTATAATACAAATGTAGCACATGTAACTAGTGCGAGGCGTGGGAGCACAGAGGTCTCTGAAAAGCATAAAAGGCTGCCGCTTCTGCCCCCTCTCAAACCTCAGGTAGAAATATAAGTTTAATTCTCCTCACCAGTGGTTGGTTTGTTTGCTCCAAAAGATAAAAGCAAATGTTAGTTGTTAGCTAATATAAAACTAACATGTCACTCTAAGCGTGAGTTAGGGTCAGTTAGACACAGCTGAACAAAAGTGTCATAGTGAGAATTAGTGAGAATTTGGTGGAGGGACTTCTTAATTGAATAATCTCTCAGCAATACTTGGTTATCACACCACAGGAGAAAAGTGAGCGATCCTGAACCTGCTAGATAACTAGCACGCACTCTAAGTGATATAAAGAGCAGTTTGGTCACTCCTGTATTGAGTAACATTTATTGTGGAATTATTTTATTAGTAGTTTTCCTTCAGTAAATTATCAGGAAAATCACATCCTACTGAAAGTGGTATATCTAGGTGTAATATTGACTAGAAATCATAGTAAAGTCAATATAGAATTCTATCAATTCTATCCATAGACGATCTATACATCAGGTGAGATCGTTGGGGGGTGTTGATTGTTGTTTAGACAGTGAACAATTATATATTTGGCAACCAAAACATGGTCAGTAAGCAAATCAGCACAAACTCTAATATCGTTATTGGACATAGGAAACTGGTTACATAAGGTGATCCAGCTCTGCTCCTTCAACACCTACCATCATGTGTCATTTCGAGTGATAGGGGCCATTTTATCTGTAGTTCAACTCATCCTCAGTGCTGCGAACTTTTATCTGGATCCTTCCATGGTCTCTGCCACAACCTTAATGACTGTCCATTCACACATGTCCATTGAACCTTCATTTCAGGTTCTCCCTGTCTGTCCTATGTGCCAAGAAGTGTTCCCAGCGCTTGACACCACACCTGCCCTCTGCACCAAATGCACTCAGAGCAATGGGACCACCCCTTTGTTTGGACATGATGAGAATGAGAATACTCATGCAAAAGAGAGGAATGCAAAGGCACGCGATCCAATGATGCGCTTTGCTTTCAAACCTGTCAGTGAGCAGCTTCATGACTTACTGCAAGAGCCTGGGACAGAGGATCTTCTTGATCAATGGTGCAGATTACCTGATCGGCATCCAGAGCTCAGGATATATCAAGATATTTTTGATGGCTACAGGCCCGTTTGCTTCTCGGTGCCGATGGATCTTTGTTTTTTCGCAATGAACCTGAAGATCATGAGATGGGCCCAAATGGAGAGCTTCACATTGGACTCACACTTGGTGCTGATTGGTGAGTATTTCCTTTCTCCTTAGGGGTTGGGTTGAACAATAACATGTTAGGTTCTCATATCATCGATCTCAGCAGTCTACCTCCCACTCATCAGAGCCCATTTCGCTATGTATAGCAAATCTCCCTCCTCATATCAAGTAAGTATTATCATTACTATCACTTCCAATCGGTCTTTAAGGATTTGACAGATACAAAACATCCAATCTTTTTCTTATGGGCATCATTCCTGGTTCCTAACAGAATAACTGCTTGTTCTAATGCTAAAGCTCAGTCTCAAGCTAATGCGCGAGAACTGGGATATTACCTAATGCTAAAGCTATAAGGTAATATACAATGAGTTACAATGTATAAGAAATAAAGTAAAAGAATGTTGTAACTAACCTCAGTCTCAAGCTAATGTGCAAGAACTAAGGGAAAAGAAGAAAAAGGTGTTGTGACCAAGTAGTCACACTACTGCAGGATTGTGGCTGTCTGGGTGAGTTCCTTGCTCGGATGTGGGAATGTGGCTGTATGAAAACTTGTCTGGCCTCCCATAGCACATGGTTCCTCCAACAGTCCCAAGGAGCCAAGCCCTGATCAGGTGCAACAGCTGTTGGTCAATGATCTTCTGCACCTGTGGGACAAAGGAATTATAGTCAAAACTAGCAAGTGTCCTGAAGGGAGGCATGTCTGTGCCATGCTACCACGTGTTGTTTGCGATGCTCCTGCAGCACATAAGCTTGGAGGATTTGGCTCTCATAGCCACACCATGTTCTGCACTCGCTGCTGGGTGATGTTGTCTCAGAAGCATGAGTTAGAGGCTCTTCTTGTCAGAGGTACGTGACACAAGACATGACTCATCTATTTGCCTGAAATTACTCTCTAGGTTTTCCTTGTCATTCTAATGAGGTGTCAGGGTTCAGCACCCTGCCCTAGGGTGCCCCAGACTCCCCAACCAATCCCTTCCTTCCATTCCTTCATTGTTGCCTTGTTGTTGCCTTTCTGTGTTGTGTACACACGCGCGCACGGGATAGCGTGGGAACTTTCTGAGCGAGCAGCTCGCCCAGAATGTTCCCACGGGTCACAGCCACAGTTCTGGGCGAGCAACTCGCCCAGAACGTTCCCACGCTTACTGGGCACTGCCACCTGGATGTTCCCTCTGGGTCACACTACACAACTCTAGGAGCTGTATAGTTGTGGGCATGTGACCCATTCCTTTATATAGCAACCATGCGGGGAGATGAGACCTTTACCCTTCTTCTCATCTCATGCCCCGCATAGGCAAGTGTATATATTCCCTTTCTTTTACTATACATCTCATGCCCCGCATAGTGTGAGGACAGGCCAGATAGGGGTTGAGGTCAGGGAGCCTCCGAGTCCGAGGCCGGGCCCTGACATGAGGAGCATCGCAGAATGGGAGAGATATATTGAGATCTCCTGACAAGAGCTTTGAAGGAAAAACATGCCACACAACACTCTAATCAGTGGATGGAGCTGTTGCATCTCCCTTATTTCGACTTGGGCAGGATGGTAGTCATTGACCCAATGCATAATCTTATTCTTTGTCAGGGCCCGGCCTCGGACTCGGAGGCTCCCTGACCTCAACCCCCATCTAACCTGTCCTCACACTATGCAGGGCATGAGATGAGAAGAAGGGTAAAGGTCTCATCTCCCCACATGGTTGCTATATAAAGGAATGGGTCACATGCCCACAACTATACAGCTCCTAGAGTTGTGTAGTGTGACCTGGAGGGAACATCCAGGTGGCAGTGCCCAGTAAGCATGGGAACATTCTGGGCGAGTTGCTTGCCCAGAATTGTGGCTGTGACCTGTGGGAACATTCTGGGTGAGCTGTTCACTCAGAAAGTTCCCACGCTATCATGTACACAACACACAAAGGCAACAACAAGGCAACAATCAAAGAATAAAGGGGGTAAAGTAGGTGGGGAGTCCAGGGCACCCTAAGGCAGGGTGCTGAACCCTGACATTCTTGGTACGATATGAAGCAGTACCAGTGACCCCTTCACACTGATTGTATATGATTTAGGAACCATTTCTATCATATATGGGTTGCTCAAAACATCATCCAGCCAAAGCATGAGCTTGGCCAACTTCATACCCTTCTTTCGAAGGTATGCATTGTCAGGGCACAGTGCCTGACCCCACACACCCTCAGGTACCCTTCCCCATTTTCTCCTATTTTTCCCTTCACTGTTCCACAATCCTGCATGCATGCAGACCCGTGGGAACGTTCTGGGCGAGCAGCTCACCCAGAATCTTCCCATGGGGGGGGGGGTGCCAATTATGGAAAGTCGGCAAAGAGCCAAAAACTGTATAGTTCCCGACTTCCATTTGTAGTGGCTTCACAGGAGGTTGAGAAGGTTACCCTTCTTCTCAACTCATTTCCTGTGAAGGCAAGTGTAACTAGCTACTCCCTAAATGCACAGCAACTGTCAGGGGATGGACCCCAGGTCCCCATGACCCCTCTCTCTATAGCCCACAGCCTAATCTGTAACAGCCTAGTCTCAAGGCACAACTACTGTGGGTAAGAAAGTGAGAAGAAGGTTAACTTCTCACTTTCCCACAGTGGCCCCAATATGGCGAAAACTTCCGGGGATACCCAGAAGTCACATGAAGGTAGGATCCGGGGACCGGAGCATGCGGTGCACGGATCATGCGGCACAGGAAGTGGAGTGGGTCCGGATGCAGGTCCGGGTCCGGGCTAAGTCAGGGTATGTGCCCTGACAGCAACTCATTTCCTGTGAAGGCTGGGGCTAGCCCCCTCAGTGAGTTTGAGGATCTCCCTGGGCCTATCACAGAATGAGGACCGGACCCTGACATGCATGCAACCTTTTCAATGTCCCATCACATCTGGGCTAGGGCTGATGGACCTCAGTTCACGGTACCAGGGCACTTGGCTACACTGCTGACTGCTGTTGGGGAGCCAGTGGGGGGCTCACTGACCACAGACCAGTGGATGCTCATGGTGACGATCTTTGGTCCAGTTACCATAAGTCTCTACTATGCCCCTTAGAATATTCTCCCACAATATTCTTTTGTCTAGGTCCCTTTGATATGGAATTACAGGGATGATTGGCATCGCTGGAGTCAATCCTGGGCAAACACAAGCTGACATCAAGGCAGACATTGATCACCTCAGGATAGGTTACCTCCAGCATTCCCAACATCTCTTCATCCCGGGTCACTCACAAACTATGACATCGCTAGATGGCTTTGAACATGGGGAAGAGAAGCTTCGAGTTAGTGTCACATCCATACAATCCAACCTCCACTCCGGGCTCCCGGAACTCCGAAACTGACTCTGGAGCCTTACTTCCCTCCATCACCGTCTCCTTGCCGACTCCCAAGAGCACCTCCAGCTCTGACACCACCTTTGGTCCGACTCCGGAACATTCCAGGTCCGACCTCAACCTCGACACCTTCCAGATGAGTTGTCAGAGACTGGGTTATTGTTGGAGTCGAAAGTACTGTCAGAGTCGGAACACTGTCAAAAGGTGGATAGAAGGTGGATTGGGTTCTGTCTGAGTTGAGGTCGGAGATTGTGGCAGAGGTCTGTTGGAGCACACACACGCGGATATGTGGGCGGAAATGTGCGGTGCATCCGGAAGTGCTGTTCAAGGTTAGCAGAGTGGGATCGCGGCCTCAGCGACTCAGGTGGAGCGCTGTGCCCTGAGCTTGACGTTTGGGGGAGATCCTGTATTTACAGACTGACACTCACAGCGGACTTCAAACAAGACTTGTGGGTGGAGCGGACCTGTAGGAGGAGCGCAGACTCCGCGAGCACGGACTCAGAGGGGGGGAAGCCCCCTTTGCAGAAGGAGAGACTCAGACCAGACAGGGGGGGTACTCTAGTTGATTTCAGACTAAGGTCCCCGAAAGTATTTACAGGATATAAATAGGCAGGAGGGAAACACAGAAGGACCGGTCAGTCCGGTGTGGTCCGGCGCGGAAATAAGCGAGGATTGTCAAACTGAATGAAGGACAAGAGCCTGGGAAATGGGAGGCAATGAACTAAACAAAAGCGGATCAAGTGCCAATATTGACAGGTAATAAGAAGTGCATCAGCACATGGATCAAGTGCCAATATTGGCAAGTTAAGCGAATGAATGGATGAACAATATAGGCACTCGGCAAGGAATGAATGGTATGCTGCCGAGTGACAAGATGGCCAGAGAAAAGCGGAGGTCAGCGCGCGGCACCGATACAAGTCCGCAAATAAGCAGGGTCGGTGCGGTGCCAACACAAGTCCATGAAGGGACATGGAAATCAGCACGGTGCTGACAAGTCCGCAACAGAGGGTGGTCCATCAGTGCCATCACAAACAAGGGCAGCATGATGGCCAGCAAGATTGGAGGGGAGTGTTGGCCTGACCACAGGGTGTGGAGGGCAACCAGGAGTGGCAGAGGTCCAGAGGGTGTGGAGGTGGGCAGAGGTACAGATGTGGGTGGAGGTCTGGATGCAGTGCATGGTTGATAGGGCAGGGGGCCAGACATTGGATTGGGGGCTGGTTAGATTGGGTTTCAGGTCAGCGGATTCGCCTATCAGCATTGATTCACCACTGATGGAGCCCCAGGATTTGTCAGTCGTGACACGAGTATGCAACACCTATGCTCCTGACTCCCGGCCTCTGCTCCGGAATCCCATTTGCGTCTCCGTCTCCGGAACCTCCGGTCTTAGCTCCGACCTCGGACTTTGACCCCACCTCCGCTTATACCCATTGTATTGGTTAGCTCATTCCATTTAATTACCTTTGCCAATATTCCGGAGTTTAACTTCCGAGTTCGGACTTTCCGGACTTACTTCGGACCTTGCAACTATTGCATTGTCCCATTCAATTCCACTATACTCCCTCATTCCTATTTGGGCTGCTGCTTCCTTTCTATTCAGTCAGCTAGCCATCCCCCACTCCCATCCTCCTTCCTTCCTCCTTGGGCCTTGTGTCAGGGCATGCCCTGACATGCCCTGCCTGACCCCTGCTCCACTTCCCCGCTCTGCACTGCTTCTCCCTCCTCTCCCTTTTCCTTTCTTTCTTTCTTTCTTTCTTCCTTTCTCTCTCTCTTACATGGACCACCTTTCCTGCTGTTCAATGTATCACCGGTGTGCATGCCCATTTCCCCTCCTGTATCTTACCATCCCTATATCACCACCACCACTGCCGCACTCACCCCGCACCCACAGCGGGCCCTCTCAGGATCTCCTGTGGAGGCACCTGGAGAGCCATGGCTGTGTGTGAAGGTGACATGGCGTGCCCCACGTGACCGATCCCGCATGTATATAATAACAGCTGGAGTGGGAACCGAAGAAGTAGCCTTCTTCTCACATTCCCACTTCAGGCAAGTAGTGTAGCCTTCCCTTTTAATGATAACTCACATTCCCACTTCAGACTAAGTGGTCAGGGATGCTCACCCCATGATGGGATCGCCACTACATATAGCCAGTATTCGTCCCACCAAGTCCCGCATGCCAGGACTTCACCGCTTTTGGAGCTGTCCCTGACAATGAACACTCGAATTGAACTCATATAAATGGAGAAGATCATGGTAAAGAAGAATATTGTTATAAAGTAGAGTGTTGTTATAGAGCACATAATTGTCTGGAAGCGGAGAAGGGACTCAGTAAGGAGGAACCTTGGCCTCAGCGACTCAAGTGGAGTGCTGTGCCACTGGTTTGTTGTCCAAGGTGGTCCTTAATTTCAGGTTAGCAAGGGGGAGTCTCTTGGGGGGACAATCCAGTCGATTCTGGTTTTCTAGTCATTGATTTCAGACTAGGGGTGTCATATCCATCCCTGGCCATCGACTTCCGATCCCTCCGTTCCACTTCCGCTCCTTCCTCACTAACCTTGGAGCTCCTGTATTCTGCAATCCCCTCGGTACCCCTCGATGGTCACCACCCCCTCCTTTCAATTTATTACCTATGCCTCCCTAAGTATGGAGCCCCGAAGGCTTCTGGACAGCTCTGACATCCGCTAGCGCACTCCTGCCTCCACTGGACAATACACTCGCTTGCCCTGCAAAGCCCACCTTCAGGGCTATCCCTCCTTTCCATTTCTGGGTTATCGCCTGCCTTTCCGCTAACCCCGTTAGCTCCGCTCCACTCGGCTCCGCCATTTGCAGACCCACCCCCGCTGTAACTATATATATACTTAACTTGTACATAGGTTACACTCCAGTAATAAAATCGACTAGAGTTTACCCTCTTCAGTTCTGGTGGCCAGTTAGTAAGTTAGGGCACGGACGTGTTTACTAGGCACAGCGCTCCTGGCATAAGTCGCTGAGGCCAAAGCCCTCCGTCACGGAGACACTCCTTCATCTCAACCCGGTCTCTGACATAGGGGTACAGGAAACTATGTACAGAGTGTATATATAATAATACAGGAGTGGAGTCAGAGGACAAATAGAACCCAAAGGGAACAAAGGGAACTGGAAGGAGACAAAGGGGGACTGGATGAGGGAACAACCCCAAGGGTCAAGGGTTGGAACTCTATGGTGCTTCCCAAAAGGGCAATGCCAAGAGGGGAAGGAGTGGAGTGGGTTGTGAAGAATGACAGCTGACCAATATGGAAAGGAAGCAGCCATCTAAATAAGGAAGAAGCAACAAGAGGATTAAATGACACCATACAGTAGAGACTGCAGGGTCCAGAGTAAGTTCCGGAGGTCCAGAGTCAGAAGTCAAAGTCCGGAATATTGGCTAGAGGCAATGACCAGAGTTCCAGAGCTGGAGGTGCAATGGGGTTCCGGTGCAGGAGTCTGGAGCTGGAGGTGTGGAGCATCACAAGCTCTGGTCTGGAAGGTATGAGGTTGGGATCGGACCCAGAGTAAACCGGAGTCAGACCAGAGATAGTGTTGGACATTGTGTTGGAGCCAAAGGTAGAGTGGGCTCTCAACAACCAACAGGGGGAGGAGGTGGTGGAGGATGTGGAGTTCTGGAGGAGGAGATGGAGGTCCAGAATCAGGAGCAGAGGTCCGGAGTTGTATGGATATGACAAGTGTCACCCGGCACTGAGGACCCGATAGGGTGTAATACGGGCATGTACTAATGGACCCAGCACAAGAGGGTGTCCCTGGCCACTTAGGCTAAAGTGGGAAGTGTGAGAAGAAGGTTACTTCTCAGTTCCCACTTAGGCTGTGTTTATGTACATGTGTGTCAGGGATCGACCCCTGACCCCGCTGTCAGGGCACCCAACCACACCCCAGAACCACCTCCCCAGACTTCCCCCACTTCCCAGACCTCCCCATCCCTACATACCTCTCACAACTTCAGCCCGCATGTGAGCCCGCGGGAAAAATCACGTGGGTTAAGGCGAGCAACTCGCCTTAACCCATGTGACACCTTTTCCGAGTCGCGGGAACATGCTCGGCTTCTACCCGGAGTCACGTTATGAACTGTACAGTACACTTCCTTTTTATAGTAGCCAAGCGGGGAATAGGGAAACTTACCCTTCTTCTCAACTCATTCCCCGCTTAGGCAAGTTGTAGTTACCCTCTGTAATACATGACAACTCATTCCCCGCTTAGTCCCTTCAGTGAGTTTGAGGAGCTGAGGACAGGGTCTAGCGCCCAACCACCCGGGACACCGCGCACACCTAGGACTGAGGTCAGGCTGTCCCTGATCGAGGACCGAGCCCTGACAATGTGGTTGAAGGTCACATGGGGGGTGCCTATGCTGTAGGAGAAATAACGGTCACACTATGAAAACCCATTATGGAAATATGCCAGATAAATCACAAAACTGTCAGAGACCAGACTTGAGACGAAAGAATGTCTCCGTAACGGAGGGCTTCGGCCTCAGCGACTTCTGCCAGGAGCGCTGTGCCTAGTGACACGTCCGTGCCCTAACTTACTGACTGGCAATTAGAACCTAGGGGGGAACTCTAGTTGATTTTTCTACTGGGGCGTAACCTATGTACAAGTGGGATATATATATGGTTACAGCGGAGACAGTTCCGCAATTGGCGGAGCCAAACGGAGCGGAGCTAACGGGGTTTAACCATTAGCCGACTGAATATTACCGACGAGTCGGTTCACGGGGTTAGCGGAAAGGCAGGCGATAACCCAGAAACGGAAAGGAGGGATAAGCCCGAAGGTGGACTCTGCAGGGCAGGCGAGTGTATTGCTCAGCGGAGGCGGGGGTGCGCTAGCGGACGTCGGAGCTGTCCGGAAGTCTTCGGGGCTCCGTACTTAGGGAGGCGTAGGTAATAAATTGGAATGGGGGGGTGGTGACCATCGAGGGGTACCGAGAGGATTGCAGAATAACGGGGGCTCCGAGGTTAGTGAGGGAGGAGCGGAGTTGGAACGGAGGAATCGGAGGGACCGGAAGTCGATGGCCGGGGATGGATATGACAAAAACCCCATATGACAAGTAGATATGAGAAAATAGAAGAACCTGAATTTTAACAAATTTTTACGAATTATTATGACTACATACGATAAATTGGAAGAAGGAAAATTAGCAAAAATACTTCAAGCTTAGCATCAACAAGACGGAATTCTCGGGGAAATTTATAGCAAATATTAAACAAAGAATTAGGACAATTGACCAAGATTTGACTATAAAAACAACCAGAGAACCTCCACAGAAACTACTTTCCCACACCTGCACACGTAGCCAAGGATGGAAGTACCACGGGACAAGGATTCCTTAGGAACTAATGCAAAATTCAAAGTCGTGTTTATAATAGGAAATGTAGATGTCCCCCAAACGGACCCAATGAAAGTAATTACAGGGAAAACTACCCATAAACAATGGAGATATGACTAAAACTCCCAGAAAACGAGGTCAACGTTTAAAAGGCAAGCATGAAGAACAAGCAGTAACAACCGAGACGAGCTTGATAAAGGAAGGGATCTAATCTTAATCCACCCAAATTTTTTTTTTTTTTTTTTTTTTTTTTTGGTGGAACCCCATGTAGCTTATAACAAAAGGATCACGCATTAATGAGATATCCAATAATGGGAAAGCGACATCAAAAGTCCCGGCTCAGGGAAAAGACGATGTTTACGTAGGATCCATAATTAAAACATACAACGAAATTTACACAGAAATTATGAAAAATAGTTATGCAAATTTTCAGCCCAAACGGTCCAGCTGTTGTGAAGTTATACAGTCGACTCCCTCATAACACATACCCGTCGGGAGAGGTTACAATGTATGGGTTATGAGAGAGTATGGGGTATGCGAGAGATGTGCGACTAGCGGGATGACGAAAGTTTTAGTGTGTCTATAGCTTCTACGGATATTAGGGTACTATGTACGAGGAAAGTAGTCTGTCAAGTGAGTGTCCTTCATGTTTCTCTCCATGGCTCGTGCCCGCTGTCCCAAAGATGCAAGCATCACCTCAGCATTCCGAAAGAAAGGATCATTGATTGTCTTTGTGAATTTCCACAGTGTCAAAACTGCCTGGAGTGCCTCGCGACGAGTAACGGCTGGTTCGTCAGAGTCGGGCATGCCAGAACTGTCTGCATCCGAGTCACTATGGGCCTTCTTTGCTTCCATGACTGCTGTGTAGATGTCTTCATCTGTCGCACTGTAGATTTCATGTGACTCAGCAGCTGGGTTGAGGAGCTCACTGAGTGACATCTGATTTGACTTTTGTAAAGCTCCGATTGACTGCAAATCATCCAAGGCACTTTGAATGTCGTTCTCAGCCTGTGAAATTTGATTGATGGGTGTTGCCAAGAGTGAATGGTCAGGATCGGAGTGGACAAGAGATGAAATGGGGAGTGATGGTTGGATGGGTGGTGGGTCCGGCCTGGTTGGTAAAATACTAGATTTATGCCAACAATTTTGTATTGTCGTAGCATCCACCTCATCCCATGATTGCAAAGCCATGTGCATTGCTTCAAGCTGGTCGATGTTGTAGATCTCGGAGGGAGTGGTCCCTGCATCATAGAGATTGATGGAGCGGTGAATAAATGTGGAACGGTAGTGTGCTTTGAAGCACTGGATAATGCCCTGGTCATTGGGCTGAACATGGGCAGTCAGGTTTGGTTGGAAGTTTTCAACTTGTATGTTGGTAAGGGTTTCTGGTACGACGTGACCTGAAAAGTTGTCCTGCAGCAACAAAATCTTCCTTCCTTCCTTCCTTAATTCCTCGTCCCAGTGTGATAGCCACTCCTGATAGAGCAAAGCAGTCATCCATGCTTTAGCATTGTGATGGTAGTCGAAGCCATGCTGTGCCCCAGTCTTGCCCTTGAATGTGCACGGCTTATTATACTTCCCGATGATGAGTGGTGGGAGCTTTGCTGAGCCATCCGCATTTGCCACGAATAACAAGGTCAACCTATTTTTTTGGCCCTTGACACCTGACTGCTGTTTGTCGGAAAGTCCGCGATCGGGTGGCATGCTAATCAAATAAACTTTCAGACCATCTGTAATCTGAGCTTGATTGAACTTCACATACGCATAGAACAATGCAGTCTCATCGCCATTGAAGATGTCACACAACTCGTAGTCAGATTTCCCTATGAGGTCTTGAATGCGCGGCCGTTCTTTGTTGACAACATCGGAGGATACTGATGCGGCCTCACCATGCCGCTTGAACTCTTTCAAACCTGCGCGTGCTTTGAACCGAGTCAACCATCCCTCACTAAGGTGTAGTCGCTCATCCTCTGGTATGCCAACAAGATCCGCAAATCTCTTCCATTTTTCACGGAAGACATCACCCGTAAGAAGAACACCCTCGGCCAATGCTTTTGAGATCCACAGCTCAAGCATCTCCGTGACCTCAGGGTGTTGTGTCTGACGTACACGTTTCACAGAACGGCCAGTGCCACTGCTGCTCTCATACTCCACTCGCCAAGTTGCTTCATGCTTGAGCCATGCAGAGATTCTTGGCTGTTTAAGATGAAGGGCAGGGTAGATTCCATTAAAATACCGTGCTGTCTTGGACTGGTTTTTCCCGTTGCAGTGATGCCAGTCAAGAATCTCAATGCGTTGTTGGAGTGTTGCATTTTCCTTTCACTGGGGTTCCTGCAACTTGGAACATTTCTTATTGGCAGGAGCATTCGCCCCACTCTGGCTCGGGCCTATAAATAGCTTAGCAAGTTTAAAAATCAGAATTTTAATCCATATGTTTGCGCTTCTTCGAAATATCATCACTCTTCTGTCCGTTTGCTGCAAGCCTCTGCAGCTTTTGCACAATAAGTTGATCTTGTGGACCCAGTGCTTCGTAGGCTGCTTCAAGGTCTGATGCAGTCTCCAGTTCTCCTACAACACGCTCCTCATCAACCAGATTTCCGGTATTATCCAACCATTCTTCATCAACCTCTGAAATTGGTCGTAGTGCCTGTAAGTCAGCCTCAAGCTTCCGTTTCCGGTCTGAAGTCTCATCTTGAAGCTTTTTCAACCCCTTTTTGAGAATGTTGACTTGTTTCATCACAACATGGAAAGGAATGAGTTCGGTGTCAGCAGTCGGGATGCAATTGCCATCCTGGGATTAACACTCGGCATTACCCGACTCAAGGTATGGGTTATTGTACTCGAACATAGCTATGGGGTATGGGGTATGGGGTATCTACTTGAACTTACTGTAAACCAACTCGGGAAATTCAAGAATGTATGGGTTAGAAGAGAGTATGGGTTACGCAGGGTATGTGTTATGAGGGAGTTGACTGTACCAACGATGGGAAGATAGAAATCCACATCATGTTTAAAGACATGTGAGGGTGGCAATGCGAAGGGAACCGGCTGTCGGAACCGAGATCCGCACTTCAGCAGATCGCGAAGACCAATTTCCGTCCAAATAGGGAAGACCCTGGTCAAAACAAAGCATGGAAAGTACTGTCAGGGACCGGTCCGGGGTTGAGAGCATCCGGGTATATTGCCCAGCGCTGAGGGCCCGGTGGGGTGTGAAGCAGGCGCATACAGTAACGGGTCCGGCACAGGCAGATGTCCCAGAAGTGGGAATGGTGTATATACATGGTGCTCAGGTCACATGAGAGTTGCCACGTCGTCCCCATGCACAGCCCCAGCCACCCAGGTATTCCCATGGGGGATCCCGAAGGGGTCCGCTGCAGGCACGCATGCTGGGCATACCCGGGAGTCGTCTGGAGCATCCGGGGCTGGGTGCGTTGCAAGGGGGCAAGGGATCTACCACCCTAACGAGAAAGAGAGGGGGCCATGGAGTTGGTAGTGCTCAGGGGAGGTTCGGATGAAGAGGAGGGGGGGGGGGAATGGTCCGGGTGCGATGTGATAAAAATGAAAAACTCGTAAATCTCACTAGAAATCAAACTAATGGGAACTCTGTCCCTGCACTATGTCTTGAGCCTCTTTGGCTTCGTATTCGCCGCTCTGGGCACTGATAACGTCTGCTAAAACTTCATGTTCATTGGGGAGCACCTCTCTGTTGGGGGAGTCCTTTTTTTTGTAAATACAGGGAAGAGGCAGTTATAAATATAAAAAAAGTATCTGTGGAAATCCGAATGATCCGACGGGTTTAGGAAGGCAACAGATCCACAAGGAACACTTAAGAAAAAAGCAATATCAAAGAAATATTAACGTTGTTAAGGAAATAAAGAAACATGGCGATCGCCTCAACTGCTGAACCAAATACGTCACTCGTAACATCGTTCGACTTGTGTTGACAAGGGCTTTCCAACGATACCAAATTCGTCCGGATCGGTGGAGAATTGATGGAGATATGGAGGAAGCGGCGGAATATGCGGGCGACAGTTACCCAATTTGGAAACTGATGGTTGTCCGTGGTCAGGAATGGCTTGAAAAAATCGGAAAAAATATGGGAAACGTGGAAGGGGTATCTGGAACAGTGGTAGATGTGTTTCGGAAGTGGAATGCTTGACGTGGGTGGTAGAATCGCGATAATCGGCTTGTTTGGGTGGTACCGGCTGTGCCCGCCTACAGCGTCGTGCATGGGTCATGGGTGGGTTAGTAGTACATCGGTCAAGGAAAGTCGTCCATGTAAATAGAAATAGGAAGAACAGAGAATGAGACAGAGAAGAAATAAGAAGAGGGGGAAGTGGAGGGAGGAGGAGACAGGAAGGGGAAGAAGGGGGTAGCGGGTGGGGTGGAGCCAGGTGGAGCCAGGTGAGGTGGGCATGCCCTGACAAGTACAAAACAACTAAGCTTAGATCATGAGGGAAAAATCTGAAATAAATCACGGAAGCCCATATGAAGGATACAAACACCCGCGCATACCATAAATCCTGAACAATCGGCACCCGCATATGAACAACTATGGGAACGATGCACATGATTACTGAATGTGCACGCGAATTTTTGCTAACTTGACGAATACCAGGAAATAGAACACAACTTTAGTACCATTGGAAAGGTGGGAATAAATGAGAATTTATGATACCAAGAACGTGAAAAACCATCCAGAAATGAATGAGATACAAGGACATGAAGTTAGAAACCTGAAAACGTGTGGGAAGACAGCTTCAAGAGGTCCAGAGCCCTAAATAAAATACATAAAAATATGATATCTTCGAGGACGACCTACTATGACAACGAACAATACATATGGAGGACTAGGATGTGATAATACAAAGGGGAATCAGGGGAGATGGATGAAATCCACGAAAACTGTCATATCCGTGCATACCCAATCCCGACCTGACTCCTGGACCTCCATCTTCACCACCTCCGGAGTCCTACCCTACCGCTGTCCGTTCTGATATTCACCTTCGGTCCTGACACCATACCTCCTCTCACCCCTCATGCCACCTCCACTCCTCCATCCTTCTCCTGTCCTATCTCCGTCCGCTCCGATACTCACCTCGGACCAAACACCACTCCTCTTGCCACCCTCCTCCTACTCCTCCTCCCACTCCTCCACTTCCTCCTCACAACACCTCCACCCTTCCGTCATTCCCCTACCCTTCGCCTGTCCGCTCCGATACTCACCTTCGGACCTGACACCTTTCCCCTCCTCCACTCCTCTCCCTTTTCCTCTTTCCTCTCTCTTCCCTCTGGCCCTCTTCCGCTGACCTTCTGCCAAGTTACAACCTTCCGCCACTGTCCCGTACCTCGTACCCGGACACCACTTGTACCTTCGCTCCAAGACTCCGTCATAGTTCCTACCTCGGACTTTGACCCCACCTCGGCTTTAGTCCATTGCATTGGTGACCTCATACTATGTAAACACCATTGCCAATATTCCTTGGACTTTCAACCCTGCCTCCATAAGCTCTGTAAGCTCCATGACTTCCAAGCTCCATGGATCGTCTTTGGCACTTTCACCACTTGTAATGTATCTTTCGCATTTCCCCCTATCCCTATTTGGACTGCTGCTTCTTCCCATTCTAGCCAGTTAGTCACCATCCCCACTTCCCCTCATCCTCCTGCCCCTCTGGGCTTCACCCTCCTTATCTCCTTTCGGATGTACCACAGGTTCAGCCCTATGACCTTCAGTACCACTCCACTTCTGTCACCCCTTTGTTCCCGTTTGGATGCCTTCGTTCCGATTCGGACCCCCTTTGTTTCCTTGTGCTTTCGCCCTCTCCATATATATATGGGCGCTTGTACATACTCGTTTTAGGCCTTAGTCTAAAATCGACCTGAAATGCCCCCTAGAGACGTCCTGCTCGCCTCCTATGAAATTAAGGACCAAATGGACAAACAGCAATGGCACAGCGCTCCACTTGAGTTGCTGAGGCCAAGGTCCCTCCTTGCTAAGTCTCTGGTTCCCCTCCGGAATCGTCCGCCCTTGCCCAGTTCTAACAAAAACCACTAAACTACGATGGACCATGGTGGGGATTTTAGGGAACAATATTCTAATGAAGTGGAGAGCTATAATACATTTGTTTGAGTAATTCTTGACTACTAGCAACTTTTTCTTTCGGTTCTAAACCTGAATAATTCACTCATTTACCATTTCAAGTCTCATTTTAACTAAATGTCGCTGGATAAAAATGGAATAAATCAGCTGTAGGTCTCAGCGCAGCTGTACACATAGTAATGCGAAGTTTGAATTCAGAATCACCGAGTCATAGTGAACTTAATGGTAAATATGAGGAATTTGAAATAGGAAACTGCGACAAATGCAGCGCAGTCAAGTTCTAATTAACCATTAAAATAGTTTAGGTGAGGAAGGACAATAAGGATTCTAGGTGCAGTCTGACTGCAGTAGAGCCGCAGTTCAGCGCAGCTGAGTGCAGTAGAACTATAGCATGAAATTTTCATTTTTTATTCAGTTTGAGGAAAATACACTGTAAATAAATCCTGTAAATACGAGGTAGAGCATGAAAAAGGAAGGCGACCCAAAAAGTATAAAAGGGAGACCCTTTCTGCGACCTTTCACCCCCCTCAAAGAAGTAAGAAAATAGAGTATTATTTTTCTCAAGCATTTCTGGTTGTCACTCCAGCATGAAAAAGTGATATACAGTTAAGATTGCCACTGTAGTAAAAGGCAGCAATTAAGGAGGGAAATATTAAGTAGATATTTCAACAGCAGAGCTGGTTAACACTCCAGATTTCAAAGTGTAAACACAAAACAGTTATTTTGCTACTGTTAAAACAAGCAATAAAATAAGACAAAAATAAAACAGACTCAAGGGACACTTCAGACACAATCTAAATCCATTAACTGAGTAGAAGATTTAATTCAAGTTAAATTTCAAATTAAACAACGCTACACAGAATTACACCTAGACAAATTAAGAAATTTCAATAAAATAACAGCTCCACAGGGCTCGGTTTATCTGTAAGTCAATTCCCAGAAACTTTAAACTAACCCATAAAAATAGAATTAGCCAAAACACTCGGATTGGTACTATATTTACAACAAATAATACTAGTACACTTCCCCATCCTAACTAAAGAACCAGGGAACAGCTTGGTGGTGGTCACGGTTGAACCTCCCAACTGACCTTCCTTCGTTCTCTCCTTCAAAATTGGTGGTCCTTACAGGGGTAGTGTATAAAACCTAGCTAACTCTACAGGAATTCTTATAACAAATAAACAAACATTGCTGAGATAAACACAACCAACAGAACTGATTCTGAATTTGGATCGGTAGGAACAATACCCGAATCGGAAATCACTAATTCAGAAATGAATGGAACTTGGATGCCGAGAAAATGGTCCCGGGATGCACCCGCATTCTGGGGAAGTGATATAGAAGATTTCTTATCAGATTTTGAAGCTCTAGCTGAATTGGCACAACTAACGGAAGAAGAGAAATGTAGATGGATAATTAGATACTCAAGAGGACCAGCAGAAGAGGTCATAAGCTCATTACTGCAGATCCGGGACAATGACTGGGCAGGAGCTAAGGCGGTATTGTTAAACCTCTATAGAGCCACGGACAATAGGAAGAAATATACGATGAAGACATTAGTTGACTTCTCTCATCGAAAGCGCAACATTAATAATCACTCAGAGTTTGATGCGTATCATAGATCTTTCATTGTAATC